GAAAAATGCCTATACTTTACCCTTAAAAAGGGGCGGTGTGACGGAACGGTAAGCGCTATTTATTGAGGGGCAAAGGATAGGCAATATTTGTCATATTTAGGCACTTTTTGAGATTTAGCGTACCTATATCTAAAAAAGTAGAGCTGACAGGAAAAATCTGATGACATATTTGAAATCAGCATTTAAAATACTATTAAAACCAACAGGAAAATCTTACGCACCAAAATGTGTGTTGGGCCAGTGTTATTAATATATTATTATCGATAAACGTTAAAATCAAAACAAATATCATAAACCTTTTCCGCCAGAAGGGATGAAACTTTTTTCTTTATATCGCTTTTAGGGATTGAGGTCTAAAAATTAGTCAGAAGGTACCGATAAAATGGGTCCATGAAATACCTACTCAATTTTATTTGAAAATCTGAACTCAATTTTTTTTTTATAAAGAGAAAAATACTCTTTGACTATAGTCAATCTCTAGGTTGCTATGTGTGAGTGCATCAACAGTCAACAGGTAGGTATTGAAAATAATTCGGCAATAAATTATTAAAGATAGGCAGTCAACCCTAGTTTTTTCGTATTTTGCCTAATATTTCTATTTTTTTTTACTCAAACATTATTTTTAACTAATTAATTAAAAAGATAAAAACATTTTTATAATAAATTACATTTAAAGAGTGTTATTTATAAATAATACTTGATAGTTAAAAAAAGAATACACTAGTAAACTTTTATTGTAAAATATTTGTCACGTAGGATAGATGTGTAATTTGTGCAATGTGCATTGTGCATGTATAGCATGTAGGTACAATGTGTATTGTTTAGTATGTTATCGCCAAAGTCGATTTTAAGAACAACTTAGTAAATTACCCATGCTTTATTTACCAATAAGCTGGTTTTCTTATCCGATAGTAGTGTAAGAAATTTATATACAGAGTGGTTAATCAATTATATGACACTCATGTTCTTGTAAAATTCGTAAAATTGTATCGTTTATTATTTAAAAAACATTTTGCTTTATATTATTATACATTTTATAAAATTACAACGTTTTCATTGAGAAAATCTGAAATCCGGAATTAAAACAAATTTCTGGTTTCGGATTCCAAAACCCAGAAATGTCCTAATGCTTAGTTTACTAATAAGCCGGTTTTTATGTTATCCTATATTAAATCTAAGTAATTATATGTATAAATATTATAATCGGTCGTTATCGGAAATAGCTACACTAAATAAATCAATTATACAAATACATTTTAAAATAAAAACACAGTATCTTAGAATTTAGAAGTGAAAATTATTTGATATATATATATATGTTTCAATTTAGATAAGAACCTAAAATTTGACTTTCAGGTTTAAAAAACAGAAATAAGCATTGTAAAACTAAAAATTCGGATTTTCGGATTTTAAAATCCGAATTTTGGATTTTCGGATTTGGAAATCCGGATTTTGGATTTTCGGATTTCGGATTCCGAAAATCCGGATTTCCGAACTTCGGTAAATCCGGATTTTTCCCATCACTAATACCTACACAATTAATTGTGTATAGATTAACGTGCAATATAATTGACTTGTGCTAGCTTAGGTTAAGAAGTCTCTATTGCCTGTCGGCTCCGATTTAAATAAACTCTATAGCTCACTTCTTACAATATACTATGTAATTAAATGTTGCTACGCGAAAGCTGTGGTTTCCACTGAACCACACCATGCCTCCAAAATAAAATCGTTTAACTTGTTATTTCCAAGAAAATCAAATACTAAATAGCAATTTTGACGTAACTAAATTATCAACTTTTTCAGCGTGAGATATCAATTGGGCCCACCCCTAAAACAAAATCCTGGCTACAAAAGTTGTTTTAATTAAGGTGAAATTAAGCCGAGGGTTACTGAGCTTATATTATACCAATAGATTGCTTCACATCATCATTGTCAATGACGAATAGTTGTTTTTGGGAGTTTAGAATTTTGACACTAGCAACATATGGGTTATCTACAGATTGTATGTATCTAGGTACTAAAGTTATCTATTTTAAAATATCATAAAGTAACCTTTTTTGAAAAATAGACTTGTGTGTTATAAAATAATACGTACAAAATAATATATCTGCAACAAAGTTTCATTTACAAATAATACCATACGATATTTCACGATGTTTTGTTTATCAAAAACAACTGTTTTTTTTTTTATCATATTTTGTTTTGTTATATTTGTGTGGGTACCTGTTTAATGTTTGAACAACAGTTCACTTAAAGTTAAAATATAAATTTTGAAGGGAATAACAAGGAACCACTAAGTTTTGAATACGACCAAGTTATTACAAATTCATCCGTTATAACGCAAACTGAAACTACAGTGCCTTTTGAATACAATAAAACCGATTATCTGACACATAGATTCATAAAGTACACTAACGTTCTCTATTCCAAATTAAAGCCACTCGATGTACGCTATGTTACTTTTTATTATAAAGGGAAAGATGAATTAAACGTGACGTTTTTCCTAGCACAGGAATACGACTCCCGAGTACAAGGGACTAATCCAAGACAAGAACGAACCACCTACTCATGTTTCAATTGTTTGAAATTATTCAAAACTTATAATATTTGATTATATTATTAATTTAATAATAAATTCTTACAGACAATGTCCAATTTACAATTTACCTAACCTAACCTAAGTCAATTAAACTACGCTAGAACATGACACATGCTAGTACAGAACTTTTCTACATTAATAACAGCTACAATGAAGCAAACATTATGAATGAAAATTAAAGTTTTGTTCTGTTCTAAACTTAACACAGATACATCAAGTTACAGGATATAAGGACTTTTATATAATAATGGTAATATAGTTCTTTTTGATTCAATTACTGTATTATACAAAAATAAGCATTCGTTTTCCACAATGTGTGGTGTAACGTAAACAAATGACAAATACAAGTTGTTATTACTATATACTTTTAAGTTTAAACATTATAAGAACTGTAATGTTTTACAAAAACTATCTTCATAGCTCTAAAATTATTATTTTAGAGTTTAACATTATTTTAGATAAATCTATAAATTCTGTTTGTGCTGATGTTTGTATTTTTGAAATGTATGCTTAGTACAGACCTCTTAGGCTATCAGGTTTTAAGTCGTTTTCAAACTTTTTCATAAAACCGTTTACACTGAAATCTGAATACCATATATTTATTTAAGCTGACATACTTATTGTACACGCAAATGTGTTAAATGGTTATATATTGTTAATGTTTGGTTAATAAATGCCTATATGAGCATTCATACTAATTCAATAGCAAAATAGTTTTTCGTACATTACCATATTTAGCGTTATAGCGTTAAACGTTTTGTAGAGATTGAGTAAAGTTAAAACTTCTGTTTAGTTAATAACTGTTTATTGAGTTTTGTTTTTTACAACAGCACAACAATGCACGCTGTCATACATCGGTCAATTGTGACATTTTACCTGTGTTGGAATTTGGTTAATTCCCATCCACCTGTATTTACGAACAAGGTAAAAAAAAGCAACAGTTTTTAAAAATTCCAAACCGAGTAATTTATTTTTCAACTTACTAACTACACCATTACATACATATTTGACACCCTTAATAGTAGAATAATGGCTTAGTTTTTTAATTTTAAGAGAACATCCATAAATTGTCACATTATCCCTGTGTTGAACTTAGGATAAGGCCAATTTTTTAAAATTTTCAAACGAAGTGAATTTTTTTCCTACTTATTTACAATACCATTAAATCATCTTACTTTGCGCTGAACCCACTGTAATAGCTTTTAAGAGGGAGGGGTAAAATAAAAACTAAATCACTTCTAGACAATTTAAATTTGGGGCATTGTTCAAGTAAATGGTCATCTGTTTAAAATATTCCTTGTTAAACACAATGTACAGAGTGTCTAAAAAAAAATGGTGGGGTTTAAAACCGCTGTAGGTTGTGAAGTATTCGATCTACATTGTTCTGGTAGGGCTTGAATGAAAAAGAGAGTTTTCAAGTTTCCAATGATTAGTACTCGATCTTTCACAGTCGTAACTGAATAACGCTTTGCGAACTCGATAACTTCTGTTGTACGGGTGCTATCTTAACAAACTGAACATTGAAGGCTGGCGACACAAACGGGAACGTGGAGAGACATTAAGTGACAGTCATTCGAAACTTGACAACACCTTCTTTCATTCAAGCCCTACCAGAGCGCTGTAGGTCCAATACTTCACAACCTACAGCCGTTTGGAACCTCACCATTCTTAACCCAACCATTATTTTTAAAACACCCTGTATAGCATACAAAAATTGAAATTTTCCAAAGAACAGGACGACTTTTTCTTCTTTTCTGCCGGAGTTTATTACTCTTTAAGAGTAGGGGTAGGGTATAGGAGGTGGGAGATTGTTTTAAGCCAAATATCAAACACTAAAATAATAGCCAGAAACTTGCTGTTTTAATACACTAGCGCTTGTTACTGCTTCTTAATATACTATATAATTATTTATAATTCCACCACTATTCTAAATTTATCTCGGTACTTCAACGAGACATGTAAATGCTCTTTCGTGGTTGAAGATTCGGCTGGAAAACTTTTTTTCTTCTTCTTCTGTTGGCATTTGTAATAAATATCCTGTATAGCTTACAAAAATCGAATTTTTCGAAAAAACAGGACGACTTTTTCATCTTCTTCTGCTCGCATTTATTACTCTTTAAGAGTTTTCGCTGCCATCACGATCTGCCTCCATTATGAATGTTATGAGTGTTATCGTTATCCACTCTAGTACTCCTAGTTTCTTAAAAATTCCTTCCATCTCTTACTAGGCCACCCGCAAAGTCTCTTCCTTGTAATTTTCCATTTCAGTACCGCTTTAACCGTTTTTTCCTCATTTCTACGCTTTACGTGACCAATCTATTGTATTCACTGGCCACGTATAAAGCTACTGACTGGTGCTATTTCCAACTCTTTTAGCTATTAACTTTTATTGATTATTTAGGCCACTGAAATGGAAATAAACACACCGGATGGTCCGGAATATTCATATAATGACCTAATGAATTGGGCATATTTTTTTGAAATGGTTAAAATTCAAAATTGTGGTGATTTGCTTAAGTCGGCTGATGATACTTTTCCGGTAATATTAGTATAAAATATAATTTTAAAAATATAATTATAAACCGTTTTGTTTAATTTCAAGCATCAAGTTAAGAAATTATTGATGGAAAGAGAGTGGTCACCTAAGCTTGTTGACGATCTTGTTAAAAAATATAATCAAAGCAACTGGCCCCCTGGTATATCAGACGAGGAAATATGTAATGACGAAAAGGAGAGACGTATAAAAAATTACAATTGTAGGCGTATTCCGGGTTTTCTCAAAGGCAATCGAGAAGAAGCAGTAATCGTGTTAGCTATTGATAACGTGCATATGCCTGCTGATACGATCGCTGAACCAGGGTTTTTGATGTTTTTAAATCAGGGAGCGTTGTATTATACTAATGATGATAAACTTAGAGGTTTAGAAAAATGCTTTGATATTGTAGAAGTTCTTAGATGGGATTTATTGATAACATCACCTGACAATTCCTTTATGGTAATTTTATAATAAAATGAAATTGTAAAAAACTAACCGTTGTTTTCATTTAAAGGAGAGCGCTCATCATCAATTGACACGGCAAAATTGGCTCCCTAGAAATGTGTATTCTATTATTGGAAAATACAGTCAAAATAACTGGCCATCTGGTATATCGGGCACACAATTACATGATGGCGAAAAGATGAGTCTCTTAAAAAATTACATTTGTAGACGTATTCCGAGTGTTCTCAGTGGCAATCAAGAAGAAGCAGTAATCGTGTTCGCTTCTGATAATATGCATATGCCTGCCGATATGATCGCTCATCCTGGATTTTTGATGGCATTTAAACAGGGAGCATTGTATTCTTTAGGTTATGATGAATTCAAAAGTGTGCCAGATACCTTAGAATCAGTACAAATTAGTAGATGGGGTTTGTTGCTAACGTCGCCTGATAATTATTTATGGGTAATTTTTGCATAAAAAACAAATTTGATTGAAAAAAATAGTAACCACTGTTATCGTTTTAAGGACCGCGTTAATTCTCTATTATTTAAAAGAAAAATTCCATATCGACTTACAAGGGCTATTTTAGAAAGATATAGTAAAACAAACTGGCCACTTGGTACATTGAGTGCACTATTACAATATGACGAAGAAAAGAAGATGCTTTTAAATAAATATGTATGTAGGCGTATTCCGGGTGTTCTCAGCGATAATCAAGAAGAAGCAGTAATCGTGTTCGCTTCTGATAATACGCATATGCCTCTTGACATGATTGTTGAGCCAGGATTCTTGATGATGTTCAATCCGGTAATGTTATCAATCAGCAATGTTGTTGAGAATTTTTTCTATCACCTTTTTAGAAATCTAACGTTTTAATAATATAATTTATAACGTTTAAACAATTTGAAAGTTTCTTAATACTGTACATTGTATGGTGTTAAGATAACTTGCAATCAAATATAAAGTAAAAACACTTTTCTATTATTTTGACTTTTTTTATGAAATCGAGGAACACTATTAATATGTTTAAAAATATGCAAATGATTAATAAATTTGCACGGAAAATTCTTTAAAATTAGTAAATTGTTAGTAAACAATTTACGTAAAACAAAAAAATGTAATTCTTTCACCCAAAAAGAATAAGAAGTTACATACTTGACACTCTTATAAGAAGGAAACTAGTTTATTATTTTATTTATTGTTTACCAATGATTATATTAATGGTCATCTGTTTAAATTATTCCGTGGTACATTAAACACAATGCATAGTGTATTAAAATCTAATTTTATGAGAGAACATGAAGAATATATAGTATTTTTTTTTTCTTTTCTATATTGGAAATTCTCCATACACATTTTGGTTAGACCTATCAACTTCATTGAGATACCATACTCCATCCATTATACAGAATCTCCCGATGCACAAAAACAGAACGACTATTTAGTATTTTTCCGTCCGTTAACTTAAAATAGATTTTTATTCAGTATTCCTTTTTGATAATTATTAACGTAAGATCGATAATTTTAGGCAATTAATATGGAAATTGACAGACCGCACTTTTCCGATTATTCAATACATGACCTAATGAAATGGGTATATTATTTTGAAAAAGTTAAAATTCAAAATTGTGGTTATTTGCTAACGTCGGCTGATGATTCTTTTACGGTAATATTAGTACAATACATCATTTTAAAAATATAAATATTAACCGTTGTTTTAATTTCAAGCATCAAGTTAAGAATGTATTGATTAAAAGAATGTGGTCAACTCAGCTTGTGGACGAACTTGTTGAAAAATATAATCTAAGTACCTGGCCATCTGGTATATCGAGCGAGGAAATATGTAATGATGAAAAGGAGAGACGTATAAAAAATTACAATTGTAGGCGTATTCCGGGTTTTCTCAAAGGCAATCGTGAAGAAGCAGTAATCGTGTTAGCTATTGATAATCCGCATATGCCTGCTGATACAATCACTAAACCAGGATTTATGATGTTTTTAAATCCGGGAGCAATGTATTATAGTAATGATGATGAATTTGAATGTGCAGAAAATTGCTTTGATATAGTTGAAGTTCTTAGATGGGATTTATTGATAACATCACCTGACAATTCCCTTATGGTAATTTTATAATAAATTGAAATTGTAAAAAATTAACCGTTGTTTTCGTTTAAAGGACAGCGTTGATCATCAATTGCTACGGCAAAATTGGCCCCGTAGTAATGTAGACGCTATTACTGGAAGATATAGTCAATGTAGCTGGCCATCTGGTATATCGGGCACACAACTACATGATGGCGAAAAGATAAGTCTATTAAAAAAATACATATGTAGACGTATTCCTAGTGTTCTCAGTTGTAATCAAGAAGAAGCAGTAATCGTGTTCGCTTTTGATAATACGCATATGCCTGCCGATATGATCGCTCATCCTGGATTTTTGATGGCATTCAAACCGGGAGCATTGTATTCTTTAGACTTTGATGAATTTAAAAGTGTGCCAGATACCTTGGAGCAAGTAGAAGTTCTTAGATGGGATTTGTTGATAATGTCGCCTGACAATGATTTATGGGTAATTATTGCATAAAATAACGAATTATAAAAAAAATTTAACCGTCGTTTTCGTTTAAAGGACCGCGTTGATGATCTACTGGGGAAAATAGATTTTCCATATCGACTTACGAGGGCTATTTTAGAAAGATATAATATAAATAGCTGGCCATCTGGTATATCGGGTACACAATTGCAATATAATGAAGAAAAGAAGATACTTTTAAATAAATATATATGTAGGCGTATTCCGGGTGTTCTCAGTGATAATAAAGAAGAAGCGTTAATCGTGTTTGCTTCTGATAATACGCATATGCCTCCTGATATGATTGTTGAGCCAGGACTTTTGATGATATTCAATCCAGTAAAAATATTTTTAAGCAATGTTGTTGAGAACATTTTGCTATCACCATTTACGAGTCTTACTTTAAAATAATTTAATTTGTAATGCTTTAAATAATTTAAAAGTTTATTAATACTGTATACTATATGGTTTTATGTAATCTTCCATTAAATATAAATTAAAATCACATACATAATTTTAATATCATTACTTTTTTGCATGGTAAAAAAAAAACAAAGCCTTATTCGTTGTAAAACAAATACTTTATCAGATATCTATATTTAAAACAACAGGTTTTTAAATAAAAACAATTATTTGTGGTATTTTAATCTACTCAATGTAAAGAGATAGGGATATGTTTTATTGTTTCAAATGTTTAAATTTGTATCATTGTGTAAAATTAAAATATAATAATATATTCCGATAAAACATCCAACTTAATTATTATTCCAAAGATTTGTTTTATAAAAATGAATACCGTAATACAATATGTTAAATATAAAATGAATATAAAGTTTATTATTTTATGATATGTGATAAATTATAACATAGTAGTAAATTCTGCTGATAATGATGTAATTACCCTTTTTTGATAATTACATTTGAATAGTTCCAAATCAATAGTATTATTATTATTAAATTTAAGTAACTCTAAATATTATAAGGTAATATACTAAGTAAACAAAGTGTATACCTATTATGGTGTAAAACAAACCATGATGTTTGAGGCAAAAAACCGTTTAACTTCTAAAAAGCGATAATTTTATACTCCGATTTCTGAATATTTGTTTCACTAATATTTTCAGAATTTATAAAATTATGACTTTTTCACAATAATAATAATTTATTTTATAATGGTTCTATTTTGAATATTATTTGCTAAATTGAGTTTGGATTTACATCTGAACAGAAACTAATTAAGCGTCAGTTTGCAAAATTAGCTAAAAAACAATAAATATAAATTAATACAAAATATCCATTTATATGTGTATAAATAACATTATAATACCTACACAATTAAACGAGTATAGAGTAACATGCAATATAATTGACTAATGATAGCTTAGGTAAAGAAGTCTTTATTGCCTGTCGGATCCGATTTAAATAAAAACAAACAATTTTTTAGTTTTGAATCATAATTTAAAAAAAAAAAAATATATCATTTCATTTGAAAATCAAAAGTTGATATCTATATTATCGATCTGGGAGGGGGGTACTGTACAATAAAATAATGGAAAATTGAGATCACTTAGAATAATAAAAATTCAAAAAAATAAAATTCAATTATTAATTAAACCCAATAAGATATTGAGGGGTTCAAGATAAGTGGATCACCCTGTATAATGTAAAGATGAAATTAAAAAGGAGGAATTTTACGAGGACCTAACGGAAATCTATAATAGTGCGCCTAGAAGTACGGTGAGGATTGTCATTGGTGAATTCAAAACTTAAATAGGGAGAGAGGTCTTGTGTATACCTACAGTCGGCCTACATAACGTTCACGAGCAAAGCAATGATAATGGTCAGAGGGTAGAAGATTTCGCAAAATCAAAATTGATAACCATAAGTAGTGCATCTATCCCTCATAAAGATGTACACAAATATACACGGACGTTTCCCGATGGCAACACTTACAACCAAATTGAGCACGTACATTAACATTGACAAAAGATTCAGATCTAGTATTTCCTACTGAAGAACGCAGGAGGTGCAAACAAGTTATATAGAGAAAAAAATGAAGTATCTGAATGACTTACTACGAAACACATAGCAAGATCACACACAAGAGTTCGATTTTTTTGTAATATTTAAAAGGTACCATAAGTTTAACTAACTAAGGAAACCATTGGATTTTATTTGATTTTTTACTACTCATACATAAAAATTGCACTTGAAATGTAATGTCAAAGATCACCTGGCTTTTTAATGTACTAAAAAGGGTAAGAATGATAAACCAAAAGATTATAAGTCTTCCCAAAATAAAATCATATCACAGAATTTGAATGAAAATGTAGATTAAAATGACATTATGTATAATTTTTCTGATACCTTTTTTTGTATAAGAAAACAACATAGTTCTCAAAATATAATTAAACCTTATACAATTAACCTATCAATTGAAAATACAAATTTTAGTTTTGAAATAGATACGGGGTCCAAGTACAGTGTTATATCAAAATATATATACAATTCTAACTTTAGTAATATAGTTTTATAAGACAATGATATTTCATTATACGATTATTTAGGAAATTGGTAAATAGGTAGGTTTGACTTATTAATACTAAACACCAACGAAGTAGTTATTAATAATCAAGTAACCTAAATAAAAAACAAGAGTAAAAGAGACTTAAATTTAGATGGTGTGTTAGTTAAAGATTATACAAAAACATGTGAAAATTGGCTGAAAGATACAGTTGCTGATAATATTAGTCATAACACTCATAAAGTAGTTTTAAATGATAGTTCTGAATGGATAAGGCACAATGATCAGATATGGCCACATGGTCGAAAAGAAAATGGGTTATCTCCCGCTTCTAATTATTCAGACACGCCTTGTGTTGACCAAACAAACTCCGATTCTTTTGAAACTAATGTACCAATAAATACTACAAACAAAAATCTCCTAGATCCGTTAGGATTAAAAAACCTATTCAGTGCTTTTTTCCTTGTGAGTACAAATAAGTATGTTACTGTTCCACACATCACCATTGTGCATTTTCTAACAGACAGTGCTACAACCCAATACCGGAACAAAACAATATTTTATCTGACTGCCAATGCCCTTCAGCATGCAATTGACGTTTCATTATGTACCTGGAATTAAACGGAAGCGTGTCATGGAAAAGGTGTTCCAGATGGTGTTGGAGGTTGCCTAAAGAGGACAGCTGATCGAGTTGTCACTCAAGGTGAAGACAATGATTGTTTTGAAAGCTTTGTAAAGGTCTTAAGAGAGAATGTCAGGAAAGTAGAAATAATTTTGGTTCATGAGCATAACATTCGACCAATGAAAAATAGTTTACCTTCAAAAATTCCATCTTTTAAAGGTACTTTTAAAGTACATCAGGCTGTTACATAAAAGAGTACGCCAATAATTTAATAATGAGAAACTGAAACAACTTAGATTTATCTTTTCTCAATTGTTATAATTGTGACAATTTTTTTTGGGACACCATACTGTTTCCTAGTTAAAAATAATATTTACTAAAAATAATTAATAATAATACTAATTCATGTTCTTAAAACTTAAGTCAGTATTAAATAGCGTATAAGATAATTCAGATAAATTTAAGATAAAATAATTCATTTAATTTGTAATCGTTAGTATTCATGTTTTTAAAATTTAAGTCATTGTCAAAATAATTTGATAAAGTAACTTTGTTATCTTGTGAATAAGTGAATAAGCCTTCAAGAATTTTTGTTATATAGTTTTAAGTTACAACTGTTGTTGATGTTAATTTGTTTGACAAAATGCATATAAATGTGATCATATGCATATTTTTTTCATTATTTCTCTTTCCCTACATCAACCCTTTCGTCCTAAATTTTGAAAATTTCAATAAAATTTAAAATTTAATATCTTCAGAAATATTAATGTTTATGTGTGCACACTTCATGAGGCTACAAAAGGTCTGTACAAATAAGTAATTGACAAAAAAAAAACGAAAATTCAATTTTTATTGTTGGAAAAAAGCGAAGCTTGAAATAACCCACAAATATATATGGTGGAATTGTCCTCCATACGCGAGTGCTACACCGGCACAATTTTTAATTCGTCTAATTTTGGGTATTACAATAAACGTCAGCGAATATTATTATTTATATTAATCTAATTGTGTTTTACTTTCATACTTAAGTATAACGATAGAAATTATATAAAATACTTTATTTATATATGAAATTTCATACGGTATAACTATTATAGTAAAAAACGAAATATAGTAAAATAGGTCGAAATAAAAATAATATATTAAATATTGAGAAGCAGTTAACCTGCATGTGTAGATACATATTTTTTTTAAATAAAATCTAACATAGTAAATTATCAAGGTTAACATCATGTATAAGCTACACATGTTTTCCGTTGTTGTATTGTTTGTTACAAAACAAAAGCAACTCATGTTAAGCCAACTGTAAAATAACACGTATCGAATAACACCCATAGAATCTAGAAAACAATATTATTGGACAAAGATTGAAATGAGCATTTTTTATTACCAACAAAGTATTATATACCAACTAC